ACCCCCCCCCCCCCGGTCGACTCGCTCTCTCGATGCCCCCTTAGATCTTATTTTGCTTGTTTATTTGCATGTTGTAATATATTTCTTACACCGTAGAGGACAGGTTCTGTGTGACTCCGAATGGTGGATCTTCAGGGGTAGCCCAAGGCCGTACACAGGGCAGTTTCAAGCATGAAGCGAGGGTAGTCAGTGTACTCCGACGAAGGAAACATGGACACTTTTTTTTTTGCGTCAGCGATTGCTCGTTTTGCTTCAACTCTCGTAAACTCGTCCACCGTTCTAAAAGGTTTGCACACGGAACGATGATCTGGAAGACGTCATTTCGCGCACGCCTCCGGCTCGAAGAGAGGACTTGGTTTTCCTGCAGAATGGCGTTTTGGGGCCTCTGCTCGAGAAGCACGGGCTCGCCAAGAACACTCAGGTGGGCCGGCCGCCTCTTGGCACTCGTGCTCTTTGCTGTCATGATCATGTCTCTGGTGTGGTGATTTGATTTTTTTTTTGATATCTGGTGGGCCATCCCGTGCTGTTGCCCACTGTATGTGTGCCTTGCATTGGAAACTTCAACAACATTTGCTCGCTCGGCGAGGCACGGGCGTTGCATGTGAGCATAAAACTGCATTGGTTTGATATGGAGAACTGCGACAGCACGGAAATAAGGCACCCATTCAGTGGGTGAATGACACCACACTATCATCCGACTCGCTCGCTCCCGATATGCCTCTGAGTTTTCTTTTTGGCGATTGCTGCCGTGGAACATGCATTCGCTCTCTCGAAAGCAGCACATGAGCACACCTGAAGTCCACTGCAGAGTCATGGTTTAGGTACACCAGTCCGCTCAATGTGCCCGTGATCATTGTTCTACGACGCCTTGTTTCTGGTTGCAGCAGTATTGCGAAAAAGCTTTTTGCGGCCCTCCCTCCATGTGTCGGCGCGTGTACTTTGTTATCACGCTGGCGGGCATGTGTTGAGAGTGGATTCTGCACCAAGAAATGTGACTCAGGGGTTGTGTGTATGTTCTACGAAATGTATCATTGATGAGTTTAGAGAGTAAAAGCCATGGGCGACGTAAGGAGAGCCTCGTGCGTCAAGTCTATCACGTGGCAACCACGAGGGGCCCGGAGAAGTCGGATTCCCGTCATTCCGCCGAGTACACATATATAACACCGCGTGTACTACCGGCGTGCTGCCTGCGTACTCGCTCGCTGCCTTTGTATCGCCTTACGCCACACAACGACCCACCCCTGCCACCAGGCGCTGATATACTTCGCGGTGTCGAAGAAAGGAGAGGCCCCCATCGATGGCATCACCGATGCCAACCCGGAAGGGCTGACGTCCACGTGCGGAAAGTGGGCGGGGGAGTTCAAGGAGAGGCTCGCCAAAGGGGGGCTTACGTGCCACGAGCTAGCCGAAGACAGGTAGGGTGAATGGAGTTGGGACCAGCAGGGGCGGAATCGCTTCTTTCCTACCGTCCGCTTTTTTGGACCACGCAACGATAGCGGAAATTGGCTTTGGAAGTGGGGGCAATGTCCGCTTTGCTGCTGTGCGAACACGTCAGGGTGCGGATACAACACAGACAGTTCAGAAGAATGGCGTGTGTATCACGATGGTGGGGATCGATCAGCGAAACGCCGCAGCGAAAGCTACCGAGACACAATTCGATCAACAAGGAGGCGCCGCCACAAAAAGCCTTGCATCCATTCTAGCTTTAAGAACATGTGGTTCGATGAGGTAAAGTTGTCATCGAGGGCGTTATCGTGTATCAATATTCTTGCCGTGATTCTTGTACGACGCGCGCACTCACTCTCTGCCTGCCGCCTCATCCGACAGGTACACCGCCAGGATGTACGAGAAGCACATCTGGATCTGCGCCTTCATGGTGGCGGGAGCGGCTCACAAGTGCAACATGGGCCAAGTGGAAGCCGACCATGCCGACGAGGTATGTATCTACTGAAAGATTGCGAATCATGGCACGGTCGGGAGCCAGCGCACAGTCGGGAGTCTCATCGCACCCCTGTGCGCTGAAAATGCATTGGCGAAGATGTTTCGAAAACGGCCACTACGGGGGTGCCATGACTCGCATATGCTCGGGGTTACCGTTGGCTCATGCCGACGAGACGAGGTGATGGTGTAGGGACTGTTGCCCGTCCAGCAATGGCATACAGCTCGCCCCCGCAATACCACCTGTGCTGCACCAAGCACGCCTCTTCGACTTAAGATGGCATGAAAAGCGCGTAACAGCCTCGTCGGTCCAAGTTTGGCTCTGGCGCGTCGATTCACTGACGCTTGTAGCTACGCCGCCGATCACACGGCCACCGAGGCTGGGTCGGTTTCGCAGCACCGCCAGAGATGGCGGGTACGGGTAGGAATGGCACGAGGAAAGCTACGCCGGCGCCCAACTGGTGGGAGTGCCCGTAGCCAACCCGGCGGCATATGTACACAGCCCGTTGTTCGTTCTTCGTTTGAAGAACACGGCGTATTTTAAGAATGTCATTTTTCCCGCCTTTCTTACGGGATTGCCGATGGAGCTTTCTTTTTTTCTGTCATACTTTCTCGGGATAGTCCATTTGTTCCGTTTCCCGGTTCCCGTGCAATGGAGGCGGAACGGCGAGCGCAGCGCAAATGGACGAGCGGTCGAGATCGTTGTTGTGAACGGCTCTGATGTGCAAACTACTGCCCCCCCTCCCCCCCCGCACCCCCCCGGGGGTAGGTACGCACATTGATCGGAGAGCTGCAGAAGGCGATAGAGGTGGAATACGGAGTGGTGTTCGAGGACGGTGTGAAGGATCGTCTCTGCGCGTACTCTAGGTGAGCTATATCAGTTTTGCACGACACGCTCCTCCTTCGGAAAGGTCGGAATCAAGTACCTAAAAAAAATGCCTTGGGTGCAGGTCGTTTGTCATGGTGCTCATAAAGGTTGTGGCTAAACATTTCGAACGGGCAGTCTTTTCTGTGATTCTGTGTATGTTTTCTAGAAAGGTTCGGCTCTCCTTGAGTTTTCGGTTCTGCGAGCTGGAGTTGCGCGCTCTTGTATTCGTGTGCGTTTGTGTTACATGTACCGTGGTGAACCACATCGGTTTGGCAGTCGTGCAAAGTTTCCCGCACCGTCCCATGCAGATGGATGCGCCTGCCGGATCTTGCGGTGTATCTCGGACGTGTATGCGTTTCTTAGTTAGCATCGACCGCGCCAACCGGCTGACCAAGGGAAAGACGTCAGTCTCAGTGCGGTTGAAAACACCTAACACTTCTATATGCCATTAATGGTGTGTGTGTTTTATTGATATTAGCATCGACGGTGCTAACCGGCTGACCAATGAAAAGGTGTGTGTGTGTTTTTTCATTACCATCGACCGCGCTAACCGGCTGACCAATGAACAGATGTGTGTGTGTTTTAATTGTTAGCATCGAGCGAGCTAACCAGCTGACCAGTGAAAAAGGTCAGTTGCAGTGCGGTTAAGAACACAAAATGCTTATAAACGCCGCGATCTGGGACCCCGTGAGTGTGTGAGTGTGCTTCTGTTTTCTTAATTAGAACCGACCGCGCTAACCGGCTGACCAATGAAGAGATAGATGCCTGTGGTCGTCCGCCGTCGACTCACACTGTTGTTTTTCGTATGGTGTTCTTGTGTTGGACCAGGTCGGTCGCACACTACCCCGCTGCCGTGAAGGAGTTCTCATGGCGAAACGGCTTTTTCTGGGATATTTCCGAGAAGGCCAGGAAGGAGGGGGCGGAAGACCCCTGTCCCCTCCACACCAAGCTGCTGCGGCAAGTAGCGGATGAGCAAGGGCTGACTCTGTGAGGCCGAGCTTTCGTGTCCTTGCGACAGAAGGAGACGGCTCTCCGTCTGTTGGCAACGCGTGTCTCTCATCAAGTTGTGACGAGAGAGACCGCCCGTCGGTGTACTTTGCTCGTCTTGTTTCATTCTTGGCCCGCGGACCACACTACTCTCTCTGGTTGATTATTTTGCCGTGGAAAAGAAGTATGGAGGCTTGGGGTGGTTGGTGTGTGCTACCACGGGTTGGCTGACCAACATTCATTCGTACGTCGGGTAGAACGTGCCCTACGCAAAAGACACGGTTGTTGCAGGTGCATGAAGTGCACAGAGGAATCGGCCAGTGGCTTATCGTACTTTGAATGGATCCAACTGTTCACTTCAGTCAGTGTCTCGTCTCATGCGAAACATCTTACGTGGGCGGGTACGCGTGTCCTTCTGGAGTCAGTAGATATGTAGTGCTTCGTGTTTCTTCGTGGGTAGTTTTCCTGTCCCGCCCTAGACTACACCCTACCCTGTTTTTTGTTTTCTTGACCTTGTTTCGTTCTTCCGGGAACGAGCGTGGCTTCATTTCGAGGCTATGTACACATCGTGCGGAAGGTTCCTACTTTCAGTTTATTGGTGGTTGCCACAACTGGTCGTGGTGTCGGACCAGCTAGCTAGCTGTTCAGCGAAGGGAGCTTTCGACTGTTGCTGTGGTTTGTCTTATAAGACTAAATTTCGAATGAAGTCCTTCTGTGAGATGATGTCTACTTTCTAAAGGAGGGAGAAGGATGCTACGTAACAGGGGTCTAACGTGTTCAACAGCAACAACTAAATTCCAGCTGAGGAACAACGGTCGCTCGTGATTTGGCACCTCGTTTTCGTTCTGCCGAACGCTGTTGGTCTCACATTCACATCATCTACTACAAGGAAGGGAGAGTAATGCCCCTTCGGCGCAGAAGAAACGTTTTCGGCCTGTGACTCGATAAGATTTAAACATGTTCACAGCAGTTCTTAGGATACTGATACATGACGGTCCTCGACTTCAAATACGTAGCTTCAATCTTTGCTTCGTTGACAAGACGGCGTAGAAATTGGCTCGGCCTCCACACTAACCTGCTGGTACGTTACGTTACCCTTTCATTTTTTCTTTCGGCGGGTGTGGGAAGCGTCCTCCTTTATTTTTTTTTTTTTGTTATTTTTGTTTTGTTTTATTTTGATCGGTGTCCGAGGGCTCTTTTCTCGAACAGTAGGTGCGATACCTGTTCTTTTCTTTCTTTCGATCATTTTGTTTTCTTTTTCCGAGTGGTTTGTATCCTATTTTTGTTTTTTGTTTTCTCGCGGCGTCGTATGTGCCGGGTTTTGAGACCACGGGCTCCCCATTTTTTGTGGACTATATATAGAGCTAATGTGAGAAACAACAACAACAACAACAACTAACCTGTGCGAAATTCGCGGGATTGTACGTATGTATGCGAAAATTGCGAATACAACGAGCACCGTCGTTCATTGCAACAAACCACCTGTTCGGTCACAGAGGTTTTGGCCGCAAGCTGCTGTGTCGAGGACTGACAATGTGAAGTGCATCGGACCAGGACCGAAGGCCGCGTTGGTTCTTTCCACGGGCGATGGACAGTTCCGTTCGAAAGTGAATTCTCGAAAAAAAAAAAAAGAGTTGCAGCATGCGGCTGATTACCCCGCCTCTGGGCTAAAGAGGATGCACACGGCCCGCGTCCAAACGACGCACGGCACAGGAGCCAGCCGGGGCACAGCGCGCGGTACCGGCTCGAAAGTAAGACCAAAGGAAGAGAGTCTCTGGTGAGAGGTGAGAGTGGTGGTGCGGTGCCTTTTGTCCGAGCCTGATGGATGCGAAAGTTTCAACACACACAGCAGCAGCACAGCCGCACTATCATGAGGTCAGAAGGCGCCGCCGTTGATTGCAGATGTTCGATAGCTAATGTTTGATGGCAGGTGTAGATCTACATGTAAGAACGTGAGGAGCCGGTTGTTTACCGCGAGGGTTGATTATCGCAGCTCTCTCTCCCCCCCCCCCTCTCTATCTCTTTCGTGTGACAAGCAAGGCGTCCGTGGGGAGGGTAAGCAGCAGAGGTCGGGCTTGCTGTTGTTGCTGAAGAAGCCTTGTCAAGTCGGGCTTTCCGCATGGCGTCTTGCGGTCCTTCCGCCAAAGCTGAGCCGAAACCGCAGGTTGTTGCCCCATGGTTGCGACAGAGAGGGCGACAGAGATAGGGAGAGAGAGGCAGAGACGACAACAGTTCTCGCACTCCCCCCTTCTCCCTCCGAAGCGCAGCACAGACTGTTTGGACCTTATGTCACAACCTCCCACGGTCAGGCACATTCGAAAATATTGCTCAAGCAATCTGACCACCGACCTAGAGCTACCGATGCAGCAGGTTAGTCGTTAGAACGGCCGATACCGAAGGTGCGCTTCGGCAAAGTACGAGGAAGTTGAGCCTTTCACACCCTGTTGGTGTTAGTGCCTTGGCCACCTTCTACTGTCTGTGTCTTCGTCTCTCCCGTCTGACTGGTTCTGAAAAGAGCCAGTAAAGGTTGAAGAAAAGAGCGTGGCTCCTTTGTGAACTCAGATGGGCGCACGTGCTTACTCACGGATGCATGTGCAAGCTAGTCTGCTGCTGAAGACTTTGCCCCTTCGTTGTACAAGTATTGTACACGGAAAACACAAACACGTCTCCGACAGGGCTTGAGGAGGACGGGTTTCAAAGCTTTAGAGACCGTGCTGCTCTGCTCCCTGCTCCTGGTTCACGTACTGATAGAGGGCGGCTTCTAGACTAGTCCAATATCTCAGGTGTGCGCTGCATGCCATTTTGGTACGTACGTGGCCTGCGGTGGTACAAGTTGAACAAGCCCTCACCAACGAGTGTGCAAGCGAAACTGTTCGTGTACACCTGCTTAATGTTCGCCAGCTAAAGCTCGCCTACACATGTACGCTGAAACCGTGACGCAATAACTCCGCGGCACCAGCGAGGGATCAACACGCGGAAAACAGGGAGTAAGTGTTTCACCCTTTGTGTTGTGTTGTACTTCAGGGTGCCGCCGACAACACACCCGACGAACCAACTACCCAACACATTCCTTCTATACCTTCCCAGCATAACATTCGGAGAGATGCACAGGATGGCAACCTAACTGTTTTGTTGACCCTGTTTCCTACGGGGGAAATATCACTACTGACTGTGTGCTGCTCGGGAAATCGTGGAAAAACGGCACTTTCGCGAACTCTGGATTCAGTGGCAATCGACGCTTTTCTTCGAAAGAGATGGATTCGTTGTGGTGATACTGATGGAAAAGAAAAGAAAAACACAAGACTAGCCGTTCGTCACGTACGCAGGTATGCATGTGTGTGCCCCTTGCATACAACTACTGTAGCCGCTGCCTGCTCTGCGAAGCATACGCATAGGTGACACTCATTTACATTTGTATACCCCACACCCTGTACATGTATAGACTACACATGAACTGACCAACTTACATGTTGGCAGATTATCTGATCTTTCGTCCCACCACTGCTGTTGTACGTCAACAAAATTGGCAAACTGGACACAAATGACTATAATAGTCTACACATGCGTTGTACAAGCCATGGCTTTGTGCCGTAGGGGTCTTCACGAGGGTGCAACACACGAAGTGTTTCTTCATTTTATTTTGTCAGTGAGTATGACCAACGAATCCATCTCTATCGAACAAAAGAGTCTACACATATGCACAGATATGGAATGAATCCGTAGCGTGAGCGTCCTTTTATTTCACGATTTCCCGAGCAGCACACAGTGATATCTCCCCCGTGAGCAACAGGGTCAACAAGCCAGTTTGGTACCCGTCTTGTGTGTCTATCGATGCATGTACACCCGAAAAGTTGTAAGGGCTGACGTAACGCCCCGAAGCAATACAGATCGGTCACACACCAAACACACGCAGACACGGGCGGAATTTGTTTGGGTCGTCCCGCGATAGTGCAGCATGGCGGCAGGAAACGATAACCTCGTCATTTAGTTGCGGGATGCGTTGTTGTTCGGGGACGGGGTATAATGTACAGTCGTATGCCAATATCGCTCACACGCCTCCGGCAAACTGACTGCCAAGTAAGGTGGCTATTTATTTTTTCTTCTGCCGAAGATAAACAGGCATCGCAGCTTTTCATCAATGTCAACCATCTTCCCAATTGGTTTTCTCGAACGATAACGGGGTGCAGATCGACACTGCTGTGTTGCACTCACCCTCCTTCTCTGCTCGAGTTTGGCCTTGGGGGGTTATGTGCTGCAGTCATCCGGCATGTGCGTTGTGTGCTCGGTGTTTCGTTCGTCTAACCGCTTTCTAAGTGGTCCTGGTCTTTCTGCCGCGATGCCGCGCTTCTATCACGCGCTTCCTGACGCCCCCTATGCTACGTCTCTCTGTCTCTGTCTCTGTCTCTGTCTCTCTTTCTCCCTCGCTCCCTCTCCCTCCCTCTTACCCTCTCACCCTATCCCTCCCTCCCTCCCTCCCTCCCTCCCTCCCTCCCTCACTCACTCCCTCCTTCCCTCCCTCCC